AGAGGGAGAGAGAGAGAGAGAGAGAGAGAGAGAGAGAGAGAGAGAGAGAGAGAGAGAGAGAGAGAGAGACCGAGAACGAGACCGAGAACGAGAACGAGAATACACCAACAAACGCCCAGAAACCTCTTCGTTCTGACGGCTATAGCTTCCAATTCAATATCACAGAAATTTACAGAGGCGGCCAATGTGCCATTATGCGTTTAGCGCGGCTGGGGCCTGCCCCCCCCCTTCCCCCCCCCCCCCTCGTTGGCGGAATCCATCGCCTCCAGCATCGCGTTACCCGCTCACAATTCCACGACCGGGGAACAACCGGTGTCCACAAGAGAGAGAGAAGAACGTTCCTAGGGGCAGTTCCTCCCGACTTCAAGAAGCGGCCGCTCTAAATAAAGGAGAGCTGCGCCGGCAGAAACAACAAATGCCCGCGGCTGCTGATGAGCGGGATGATGCATTAGAGGATGTGATTGAGTGACAGGGTGGCGGGCACTGAGTTGGAGAGGGAGATGAGGAGGATAGCCGCAGGGAGAGGGGGGGGTACGATGGAGGGGGGGGGCAAAAAAATGAAGGAAAACCACAGGGAAGAGACAGACAGACAAACAAACAAACAGAGAGAGAGAGAGAGAGAGAGAGAGAGAGAGAGAGAGAGAGAGAGAGACAGAGAGAGAGAGAGAGAGAGAGAGACAGAGAGAAACAGAGACAGAGACAATAGTAGTGGCAAAATAAGCAACAATATATACGATTTCCAAGATTTAAAGACTTAAACACTCAAAAGAAAAAAAAAGCGAAAGTGGAGATCAATAATATTTCAAGATTTAAAGAAGGAAGCAAGAAAACACAAGCATTTTGGGAAAAGGCATCTTTGCCATTCACTTCACAGAGGGCAAGGCTTCTAGGTTTAGTCCACTCTCCAGACAGAGAAGTCTAACTTCATGGCCTGAATGCTATAGAAAGGGGATATTCCCGCAAGATTTGTATTATTAGAACACCATTATTCCTTGGACACTTATTAAACCAAAAAAACGCGATGCTGACATTTTAATAAAATAAGCTTGCAAACCATTTATGAGCTGGCTTTGCCTCAACAAAATTATTGATTAAATGGCATCTAACTCTAATAATAGAAAAGATTGGGGGAAGACAAAAGGAAATTGGAGAACAGAATAAACAGAAACAAATTCCCATGGGGAATTAGAGATAAATCTCGGGCACAGAGAACAAACAATCTCAATCACACCGACACATTAGGACAGGTTGTTTATAACTCTTTAAAAAGAAAATAATAAACAAATTTCTACCTCCATGTACATGTTCCTACATGAGTTTGGCACTCTCCTCCCGGCATTTTTTAATATTATTTATGACACTTGTCTAAGAAAACCACTTTTCTCTTCAACAATGGGTGGTCGTCTTAAACAAGTCTGACTGTACAACAAGAACATTTAATTACTCCTCCCAAATTAAAAGTACGAAACTGAAGTACTCCCAATACGAAACAAAGCAACATACTATGGAACAGATTTGTTCAGGATAAAGGATTGTCACCCAATAACATGATAAGCACACAATCTTAGACGAAGAAAATGGCACATGTATGTTGCAGAGAGAGTATTCTTGAGAGTCTCTCATTATAATACAATACATTGTTTCACGCATTTTTCTATAATATTAATATTATATGGCTATGAAGGCCATTCTCTACACAAATACATGAGCACAAGAACCAATAAGGGTGTGCATACTCATGTTATGTCAACTGTATGCCAGAAGGAAAACTAAACTTTTTCTTTTAGTTTTAGTAGAGGTTTTACTGCGATCGCAACTGTATAATGTAAGGTCACGAGCGCCAGAAGGTAAGAGGTGTTACAAAAGGGTAAGTAAACATAAAAAAGGAGAAGGAGGGGAGATAAGGACGATAGACGTTTGATAGGAAACAAAAAACAAACCACACCAGAGCACCCGCCAACCACCCACTAAACTTTTTTTTAAATGTTAATCCAGTAATCCAGATGGTAACTTATTGAAGATTCCATCTCCTAAATGAGATCTCTTTCAATAGAATCAGATTTTTAGTCTCTCTTTAATTTCTACTTTTAAAAAAAACCCACAAACAATATTGTTTTTTAAAGTCCTACAGTACCCTACTTTATCATTCAATAGTCAGTCTTGAAAGAAAAATTATATTTTTTTAAGAAATCCACGCATTTTAAGAAAAAAAAATTGCAGACAAAAACAAAAATAATAATAAAAATCCCACTTGAGTCAACATGCTGCCAGAATGTACAGAGAGATTACAATTCCTTTTCCCACCATCATAATTTACTGCTCTGCTTTCTTGAGAACTCATGACTTGACAAAAGAATAGTGCCAGAAGAGGAGTAAATTTCAGAAACAAAAATATTGGGAAGTGATTTTGTATAAATAACGAAACTGACCATCCACTTTACATTAAATCACTTACAGAAAGATAAAAGCATATGTATGATATGGTCACAATAACAATATATACATTTAGAACCATAGCTAGACTGCCATTCACAGAATAAATTTATAACAATCTTGCTTAAACTTAGTCCTACAATTTTATCTTTTTAACTAAGAAGACATTTTGAAAGAAACAATCTCTTTTCTCAAGAGCATGAAAAAGTTCATTCAGCATTTTCTTTGTTTTGCAGGGCGTGGAGTGAGGTCATATTATTTGTACACACTGATGTTGCCTTCTTCACTCTTTAAGTCGTCGAAAGGTTTTGCCTTCTTTCGGCTTACTAAACACTGAGCATTGTATGAGAGTTTCCTTATAATATATAAAGTAACATATAAAGATAGTCAGGAATACAAAACAGTAAACAAACAGCTTTCCACAATATTAAAAATAAAAACATTTGGCGAAAGAACATTTAGTATGCGGACGTAACTATGTAAACACTAAAAGGATGATAGAAAAAATAAGAAAGAAAATGGAGAGATAATATCCTGATGCTTTAAAACTCTTAGCAGTTTACAATTTTAACTCTATAAATTTATAATAAAGGAAAGAAGACTATTTTAGTCTCCACCAGTACAAAACAAAAATCTTTTAATACACATATATGTGTGTAAATTTACAGATGTTTGAAACAGGTGAATTCATCACGGTCAACAATAAAAAGCCCCAACTAGTTTACAAGAGGAGCGAAAATGTCTTTAAACTTTCGAGTAGTACAGTAATGCTGATATTTCTTGAGGTAAATTCTTACTTTACTTTTAGACTCCCAAGCAGATCATGCACTGTTTTAGGGGGGTAAACTGCCATTATCATTTTGCTGCAGAACACACATATAAGTTATCAAAACCCTTGCAAATCAATTGCTTTCAAAGAAATATCAAACCTACTTTTGCAAAACATCAAATTATAAATATAAATGTGTATGGTGAAATACATGGGGCATGCCCTCCTGAAATCCCAAGACTTTTTTTAGGCCATGGGGGATGCCCCCCCCCCTCCCCCGAAACCTCACATGTTAAAAACTAAGTCAAATATTACTACACTGCTGGTCCTATTTTGTAAGAAAGTTTGTATAAAAATATATACATCTCATAAACTGATAACTTGCAGCAGATATAAAAAATAAAGACTTGTTTATAAAAAACAAATAAAAATGAAAAAGAAAAGTGCTTCATACTAGATCTGAGCATGAAACGGGTCCATGAGTTATTAAAAACCTTTCCTCATTGAATAAAAATCGGAAAGAATGGGGAATCGAAACTGAAAGAAAGTTTAACAAATGTGCTTGTCTGGACATAATGTAATAAACAAAGAGACTACTTCTCCAAACGCTCTGAAAAATAAATAAACGTAACTTCTATTTCTCCGAACGGTTACCGTTCTCGAGACATTTTGGTTATAATTGGCGAGAGTTCAACGTCATCTTTTATTCCGCCACTCTGCGAGGACTAGTCCGAAGCATTTTTTGCATCGAATTCAATTTCTAGAGCTAGATCTAGACCTAGATCTAGAGCAAGAGATTTTTAGATGTCTGAATATTCAGACACTTCAATTGTGGTTGGGGAAATGTTCCCAGACTAAATATTTCATTTGAAAATGCCTTCAAAACGTACTGGGAGAAAGCAAGACTTTGACTTTGGCAGTAACCTATTTTTTGCATTTAGTTTAGTCACCCCCAAAGGCAATTTAAACCAAAAGAAAAAAAAATCCCTCCATATACCCCCTTTCACACCTCTACTACACACACAGGCACACTCACGTGCGTGCGCGCCACTCCATTCGCAACCAAAAAATCTCGAGAACGGAAACCGTTCCGAGAAATAGAGTTCAAGTTTATTTTCCCGAGCATTCGGAGAAGTTCGGAGAAATAGAGCCGGCCCATAATAAATGTCAGCTGAAAGCTTGAAACTAAATTTTGAAGAGCTAGAATCTAGATCTGCTGATAGATTGTAGCCCATTAGACAGAGTATGATTGAGAAGAGCTTGCTGTTGAGCAGGAATTTGCGCTATATTAGACCCTATTATCTTGTAAAGAAGTTAAATTCTCGACCTAAAATCTATAGTCTATAGTATTTAGATTCTAGATCTAGATAGATCTAGATCTAGATCTAGATCTAGATCTAGATCTAGATCTAGAATCTAGATTTAGCTCAGTTGAAGATTTATCAGTTCCGCTAGATTTACTACTATTCTAAAAATTGTTCCTTCCAAAACCGGCTAGCAACGGCACTTGTCTAACCAATACTGCATCTATACCTAAATTAATTTATTTTACAACACGGCATTTAGCGTTAGATCTAGATCTAGATTCTAGATAGTCTACTGGTAACGGTAAGAATTCATAGTAGACTCCTTACAATGTAGATCTAGGCCTCTATGGCAGCACAGAACAGAGCAAGTTCCTTGGAAATAGAAGCAGACAGGGGCATTTGAAACTGAATAAAAAGAAGGCACAAACGACTTTCATCCTTCAATAAGTAAAAACAACCAAGGGAATGTCAATAAAAGTTGATGTACTTACGACTCTCAAACGCTAAACAGCTCCAAATCATAAAAAGAAGAATTTGCACAACTAACACCACAGGTGCCGAGCCCTTCGCCGCCATGATTCCAACTTCAGTTTATTTACCTCAACGATCTCGCGAACTCTCGTGGTAGTAAGGTAGGCTAGGCCCAGTAGAGGCCTAAGAATCTTGGCGATTTGATTGGCTACGAAATAAAGAAGGATTTTCTGTTGTGCTACGTGTTTCCAGATTGGACTGGTTTTAAAGATATATCGCTGCTTTTTTAAAAGTACATTGGCTTGCCTTTCTTCATATTATAATATTCGTGCATTATGCTAGCAAATAATTGTAGATCAGAGCAATACAGAAGTGCACCCTATCAGTCTGTTTATGTTCAGAATCAAGACTTTTGCTAAATCGGACGAAAGCTAATAATGTTGTTAAAAGCTAAGAGTCCCCTCTTTCTTTCCCTCTCTCTGTCTCTCTTTCCCATCACTTACCCAAACTCTTATCTCCCTCTGTCTGTCTGTCTGTCTGTCTGTCTGTCTGTCTGTCTGTCTGTCTGTCTGTCTGTCTGTCTGTCTGTCTCC